GATTCCTATCGCCTTTCAAAGATGCAAGTGACCAGCTGGAAAGCTCTAAGAAACCGACCTTGCACAACGTCTTGCCCCACTATCGTGTTCTCATGGATGCCCAATTTCACTGATTCTCAAATAATCTCACGCCTCAAGAATACTGCGAAGGAATACTTGCAAAACAAGTTAGAGATCGATTCCTTTCACTGCATGGTGGTGTTCCTCTGTCCAAAAATGTGTTCTTTGAAGCCATTGGATCCTGTTCAGTGCGAAGGAACTATGCAAGATATCCATGATTTGGTAGCATCTGTTTTTGTTCCTTCCATGGACGGCAATCATGATATTGTCACATTGCCTGGGCATGGTGAGCATGCTTACAGCGGTAGCAATGCCACAGTATCGAAAAGACGATGATTGGGCACAGGTGTGGGAGTGAGGTCACTGGAATCCTTCGAGGACGATGAATTTGATACTGGAGAAGCCATTCAAGATGAAATTCAGAAGTACAAAACCATGAATGTACCATCTGAAAAGGATTTCGACTTGCTGTCGTGGTGGAAGGAACATGCTAGCACATTGCCACGGTTGTCTCAAATCGCTCGACGCATCTTAGCCATTCCTGCCACAAGTGCGCCTTCAGAGCGAGCATTCAGTGCTGCCGGCCTGGTGGTTGATAAGCTGCAGGCTCAGATCGGCCCAAAGAAAGTTAATGATTTGATTTTCTTGCGTAGTAACAAAGGTTTCTAAAAAATATTTTTTTGCTTGAAATGTGGCATTTTTGGCATGGACACCATTCACTTTTTTCTGATGGCATGTACCAGTATGATGGAAATAAATTGAATTTTTCTTGAAATTCTCTTTCTGCAACATTCCCAGGACCCTAGTCAAAAATATCTGCAACTCTGGTCGCGGAAAACAAGCAGTAACGGAAATATATGAAAAACACGGGAATGGTACAAAGGTTTTTTTTAATTTGACGGGAACGGGACGGTACGGGAATGACATCCCACGGGAACGGGACGGGAATGGGTTTTGAAAATTTGCCGGTAAATCAGACAGGAATGGAAAAACCCTCCAACGGGAATGGGACGGGACGGGAACCAAAAACCTTTCCCGTGCGCATCCCTACTTGTCACTACCGAAAATGTTACATCTACCAAAAATGTAACTTCCGCTACTACACATGCGTCCACGAAACCACATTTTCTGGCACTTCTTTATTACGCATGCGTAATGTACACTTCCACAGGCCCAATACTGCGCATGTATTCACATTTTGTGGCGTGGACGTCGTGTGTCATCATTCATTGGTCACATATTGTGAGATGGGTCATTGATGTTTATATTTGTAGTTCAGCCGTCACTTTATTGCGGTATTTAAACCATACTGCTTTGCCGATTGTAATATTTGCATGAATTGCTTTTAGTGCCTGACAGTAATCTTACGTAATGTTTTTCCCAATGGTATTGCTGAATAGATGCCTTTTCTTTAGAAAACGTAATAAAATTGTGGTGTATATCAATCTTGTGTACCCATATTGCTTATCAAGGGGCTATGATATATGTACAGCATTTTCTAAAAAAAAAATCACACCAAAATAATAGTTAAGAACTTTTATTTGCACAACATAAACAATGTTTATGTTGTGCGGTTTGGCCCAAGATAAAACAATCGGTCGTCTGTCAGGAACAAATATAATTTGCTTCATTTAGCACCACAAAACACAGCTGCCATAACTGACAGGAGTGTGTGGTAATTACACTGATACAATTAAGAAAAGAAATGACTAAGGAGAAAAAAGCAGGCTTAATTTAAGTAACTTCACAGCACATCGAACTGGGAGTAGTACATAATGGTAACATTAAAGTAATGTCACCTTTCTGTAAAATTGATGGCCATACCCTGTATTTTACGTCGCTCCTTCTGAAACACATTGGGCATTAAAGGTCTATGTGAAATAAAATCTTTTAAAGTCGAAGGACTCCATCATTATCCAGTTAAATCTTCTCTTTCTTCTTGCTGTCGACATTCTCATCAAAAATCAACAGATGATGAATTGTGACGCGATGCCGTAAAAATAGCACTCCTCCTTCCAGAAGTCGCAAGCGTGCGCATGCGTAGTAGTGGAAGTTACATTTTCTGTAGGTGTAACATTTTCGGTAGTGACAGTACTGTACGATCTGTCTTTAAGTCGTCTTGCTCTTGCAAGGTTTTTGTACCATGTGACATGGTGATGCGTGACAACATTTTGCAGCGCCGGACAAAAAAATCTAACCATATCATGAAAAACGAGGTTTAAAATTTTCTACATGAAGTGCAGAGAGACTATCAATTAATGGGTATGATTTAGTGTTGTTTTGTGCTATGGTGTAGGCTGAAACCTGCGGTTATCATTAAAAACAAAATGCAGTAATCGTAAAACTTTAATTTGTGTACACCAATAAATATTAACAGGAATGTAAATCTGCATAATTTCAAACTTATGCTGGACTTTTATTTTTAATTGATTGCTTTCAATTTTTTTAATTGATTGATTTTTTTCTCCCACAGTGGTGAAATTGCACCATTTGTATTTTGTAATTGCATTTGTTTCGCTCAATTAGAAAAGGGAGTTGTATTTCAAATTAAGTTTCAATCTGAACTTCTGTAGTTTGAGTGGGGGGGGCTCAATAATGTTCCTATCGAGAAAAGGGGAGCCCTGCAGAGAAATTTTGGGAACCACTGCTTTAAGGGCTTTCTGCATCTTTTGGCTGGGAGGCATAACTGCATATTTCTCTAGTTTTGCACACTCATCTGGCTGAGCAATAAAGTAATAATATGCCTGGGTTACATATGGACTACAGTTTTTGGGAACCAGCTCTAATTTTACATCAGGACCTAGACAACCATCCAATAATGAACTCCCCACTGCACTAACAATCCTGTTGAAGCAAAGGAAGTTAAGAAGAGACTTGGGACAGGAGAGCAATACTTTTTTGTGGTGCTCTGTAGCCTGACCCATGGGAAACAGGAGATGCAGTTGACGCTCAAGGTTTGGTGAATGACACTCAGGAGAAAGATGAGAAAGACCATTGAAGCCCAACCATAAGTTAAAAATACAACCATCCTCATAGCCCAGGGGTGTGACTTTTGACTTTTAGTTCAGCTTTGCTACATTCTAGTGGAGAGGATAGGTACACTCCAGGGTCATTTGTAGCTGTCAGTCTGGGCTGGGGTCATTTTTACTTTGACCAGAGGAAGAGTTCACTGAAAGTAAAAAGAGAATTGGTTATAAAATACATACAACAACTCTTTTTGTTAAGAAAAAATCTTTAACACTCGTTAAAATTAAACAAAAGAGAACAAACGTTCTGCAGAGATTTTTTTAAATCCAGCGAGGTTCATCTTAGACTTGTCTAACTTGAAAAGTTTCCCACACTTTACGTATAATATATACATTATATAACTAGTTTAGCAGTTTCAGTAGACAGTGAATTACTTACCTTGTAATTGGCAATATCCAGCTTAATTGGTAGTTGTAAGAATCAGTCGCAATCAGTTCAGTAGCAAGAAATGTTCCTAACCAGCTCAGTAACTCTGTAAATTCATCAAGGTACCTGTTAGAAGGCTTTTATTTCTTTTTAGAAAGGACTGCACAGCAGTTTCTTTGCAGTAAGTCATGTTGTATCACCAAGCTAAAATGTACAACAATACAAACATAATGATTGTTTACTTGGTACTTGGTAAAGTATCTAGCAAAGAGATGGTATTATCTGCCACACTAGAGTGAATCTCAATACCAAGAACGCAAAAACCATATTTGTGGTTTTGGCAAGACCAGTCTTGTTAATTTGCCTTCCAAGAATGAACTTGGGGCGCTATGATTCATGTGTTTGGTCTTGTTTGGCAATGGGTGTAACTAATGTATCCTTGATATTTGGAGCGGAGCAATATCAACATCCCAGGATTTTTACTGTTCTCTGTGCTTGTGTTTTTAGTATTGGAACTAATCTTCAGCAATGGGAGATAATATAAAACGGGTACACAAGAACACAGGTACAGTCAACTACTCATGTTGAGATTCAGTGCAACAAACATGCATCCTCTGAACGATTGGCATCATTTTAAATTATCAGATCCACATCATGCTCTGCTTACCTTTACCGTATATATAATGTATTGTTTCTAGGTCCTAGTGAAAATTTTGTGTAATTTAAGTATTACAATAAGTGGATTTTTTTTAAACATTATCATTGCAATGATATGAATGTATGAATGAATATGAATCAAATGATATGAATGTATGAATCAAAGTCATGATGATTAGTAAAAGTTTTGTGTTTAGCTACCATGCAAATATGTTTTGCACAAATTCCCATCATAATACTCAAAATGTTCCTCTTTTTTTATTTTTGCATACTATATTTTGCTTATTTTATTATTTGTAATTATTTGTATTGCGTGGTCCCCTCTGTATAACTTTATAGTAATGCATATAGTTTGTATATTCCCCAAAAGAGGACAGGTGTCCTGGTTGCACTTTTTCTTTTTTGGGGAATATACAAACTACATAATAGTTCACCTGAACTGTAAAACTGTAAATAAAGAAAAATAACGCTTGAGCATTAATATAATTACAGGTCAAATGGATATAAACTGTAAAATTGTAAATCTTACAACTAAAATGGCACCTTTTTGAAAAAAAAAAGAATAGATAATATTACGCCATCTAATGATAGAATAATTTCTCACTTATTTATTTTACCATTCTGGTATATAGTTATTTTATACAAAGGAAATGTTCATTGTAACTTCTTGTTGCTTCTATTATCCACAACTCCTCACATAATACAAACCCATATTTACCACTAGTATATACGTTTGGTTAAAAACAAAGGCATATTACACATGCCTTACAATATACAAATGATATATTCTATTTGAGCATAATATCGAAGTATGGGTTGAGAGAGTAGCAGTTATGGAGTATCTGTGTATCTCCTCCTAAACACACACAAAAAACAATGGACAAGTTAAATGGGGATTACCGATTTGAATAATTTATTTTGTGAAATGTTGACGTGAAACTATTTTCAGGGGGGAAGATTTCATCAACCGGTCCACAGTTTCTTTTAAGAATGCCTTAGGCATTTCTGGATAGTGTGGGCTTGAGAAGGCAGTGAGGAGTGTGCTAGTAGGAAAAGTGGAAGGAGTGACCCTCGCTTAGTGAGTGGTCAACATCCTCCATCCCACACTCCAGCCCCCTGTGAAAAGGTTCACTAGCAGGGGATTGAGGGGCTGTGGCAAGGAGAACTTCCAGAGAGAACAGGGAAAAAACGTGTCATGAAAAGATCAGAAAGTAGGGAGGTTATGACATGACATCCCATAGTCCCTTTCATTCTTTGGTTGGTCTTAAAAATTGTGAGTGGATGTCTTGACACCATGGGGTCTGCAGATATATTTTGGATTCCACACCACTCCAGCTGGTCTTACACAGACATGATGGCCTTCACAAAAGCTTTAAGGGAGAAAAGGAGGGGAGGGTTAATGAAACTTACAAAAACATAGCAAATATACAGTATATGTCCAGCATTTTGTACCCACAACAATAAATAGTTGAATACCCAACATTCCTATGTAATATTCCAGGACCATATGTGAAGTCTTATAATAAAGTGACATACTGGAATATAATATAAAACATAATTTGGTATTTTAAAATACAACAATATCTTAAATATGCCTAAATATTAAAATTGTCTTTAAATAGGTTTGAGTTGGATACTGACATTCATAGTTCACAGAGCCATTATCGTCTTCCTGTCCCTGCATAAGGGAATCAACCTCTGTCCCAGTCATCTTCTCCCCTGTGGATGTAGGACAGAAGTGTTAATGAACAATATTCAGCAAATACACATACTGAAATGAATTAGTCCTGCATGATGTGTGAACAATTAAGGTATAATGATATACAGTGGTACCTCGGTTCTCGAACTTAATCCGTTCCGGACTCCGGATCGAATCCTAAAAAGTTTGAGTTCTGATCGAATTTTTCCCATAAGAAATAATGGAAAACCAATTAATTGGTTCCTGCCCCCCCCAAAATTACACCTAAATATGTTTTTTTTTTTTTTTAGCATTTAAACACAAAATGAACAGGATAAAACAAGAAGAGCATTTTTTTCTTAGTGGCTTCCAAAACAATAAAGATCTTATCCCAACATTACCCCTGTCCTGCCCCGATCGTCCGCTCTTTCCGTGTGCCACGACCCCTCGTTAACCTCGTGTGGAATCCCCATGTGATCAGCTGTTTCTGGTTGTTGTTATTAGTCCTCTGTATTAAGTCTGCGTTTCAGTTTGTTTCCCCAGTCCGGTCATTGTAACGTCATTGTGTTGTTCTGCCTGTTCTCAATTAAACCCTGTGTTTCCCGATCGCTTGAGTCCTGTCCCTGCTTCCCCAGTCCTGGCTTGGGAGATCGGGACAACCCCAAGCCATGCCCCAACACTGCGCCAACGCTAGATTATGCCATGCGGTCCATTGTTTATTTTTATTATTACTCTGTATTTGTAACATTTCTACAACTATTACATAACTTTTTGGTGAGCAACGGCTAACAAAATTATATAATGTACAGTATATTACCTGATACAGTATTTTCAATAAAATAGCATTATCACCAACAAGCGCTGCTGCTACAGCAAATACTAGGCTGACACTGAACCGTTACCTTTTGTTTCCGCTTGGAGATGTGCCTTGTGACTCATTTCCTGGCGCGTACAATTTATATTAGGTCAGCGTTCACGGTTTGACTTCTGATATTCAGATCGAGTTCTAGGTCAAACTAGTTTGTTCGACTTTCAAGAAATTCGAGTTCTAGTGAGTTCAAGAACCGAGGTACCACTGTATTCTGTACTTAGAAATGATGATCAACTGGTAACTTGCCTCTAGCCAGTAGGAACAGGTAAAGAATAGCCAACAAATGCAACCTTTTTCTGTCACTTACCAAGTGTTGAGAGTACGATGCGCAGCTCAGCACCCATGACTGTGCCGTTACCCTCCTTATCAAAGACACGCAGACCCTCAACGTAGTCATCATAAGCTCCCTTCTGAATGGCATCCACAGTCTTCAGCAGGGGCATAAAGGCATCAAAATCAATTCTCTTGTTGGTCATATCTGTGTAGTGAGCATAGATATACCATAAGCAGCACATAAGTGGGGCGTCAGACACAGAAAAAGGGGGGAAAAAGTACAGAACCACTGGTAAGCTAAAGTGTGATAGGTAGGTGGGGGTTGACACAAGCCAGTTATTAAACTAACCTTCTGCAGATGGGCTGCCAAGAACCTTAACCACATCCTTGTTTGTGGGATTCTGTCCCAAAGCGCGCATGACATCAGCCACCTGGTTGTAAGCAATCTTGTTGTCGCCAACCCTGTCAAAGAGCCCAAAGGCCTCTTTGAAGTCTGGAGCAGGGGACAAAGCGAGAGAGTAGTTATCAAAAAAAAGAAAAACATTTGTGTTGGTACTTGGAACGGATCACTTACTGCTTTCTTTCTAACTGTGTATGGATTAATTTAGAACACTTCTCATGTTTGAGAGGTCTACCTACCAAGAACACAGATGATCATTTCTTCCACGACCGGTAATTTAGGGGCCCTAGACATCTGCCTATTCTGCCTACAGCCAGAGCCAACACGAACACTCATGAACTTGACCAATATAAGCAATTGGAAGATGAATTGATAAATGGACATTATAACAGAGAATAGATAGAGGATAGTTAGCAGTGGTCACAGAAATATGTTTTCACCAGTCCTGTTTAAAGTTTTGTTTTCATGGATATATTCTGTCCTATGCATTTATTAATGAATAACCCATAATCATTGCTGCAACTATCCATCACCATAACTGCTTAAACCAAACTGGGGTTGCGGGGGGACCAGAGTCTATCCCAGGATCAAGGGGCGCAGGCGGGAACCAACCCTGGGCAGTCGCCAACACATGCTGCAACTATATTAAGTAAAAATTGCTCCCTTCCTCTTATGACATTCCGAATCATAAGATAAATAGTGAATGTGCATATATCAAAGTAAGTTTTCTAAAAGTAGCTTAGAACTAGTACAACTGATAATGTCATTATCACTATGTGAATTGTCAATTCAAGCAAGAGTTGCAGTTGGAACCAGTCTTTTCTAGTTATAATCCTGATTTTAAACATCTTTTGCGCTTCAGTTTTATGCTTTTCCGTACACCGACGGTTCTGAAAAATGAGCAAAATACTAATATAAATAAAAAGAACGGACAAATATTTTAATGAGCTAAACTGAAAACGATCCTCCGCAAGATTATTCCCCATATCCTATTTCAGTACGCCACCAGCTGCTGCCTACGGTTCTCTTTAAGGGATCTTTAAAGTGTCGTCTAGAAATCGATATGCCCTGAGAAAGTATTTCCCTCCATATAAAGCACTGCTGTCTCTAAAGCATGTTCAGTGCAGGAATGCTGAGTGTGCAGTAACTAATACGATGAACATCTTAAGTTTAAACACGAACATCTTTATTCATCAAACGGACCAGTTAAATTAATCATTAAATTAAATTAATTTTAACTTAAACATCTTTTGTGCACGTATGCGTATTCTCCCAGTCCAAGGACATGAAATAAGGCTTATTAAAATCTCTATATGGCTTGTAGTGTATAATGACTGGCCTTGTGAAATTAAATATGATATTGGCTATAACTGTTTATGTTTGTATAGATCATATTAATAAAGTAACTGCACACATCTAAATGATTCTGGTTAAAATGTGTATTCATTGTATAAAATTGAATATTTTATTTTAACTGTATTATATTTTGTTTATTTTAGCTTTCATATTCACTCTAGTGTAGAATTTCTTGACCTGTTTCACCCAAAAAAAAAAAAAAAAGTTCAGGATTACTGTGTAAAATGATAAACTACTGCTTTCATTGTTTTTAAATAGGATGTGAAAGTGAAGGAAGGAACTAAATAAAAAAGTGAGAGGTGCTGTGCAGTGTTTGCAGCTTTACTACAGCTTGGATTAGATTTTACATCTACTAAATCAACACACAATAGTACACATTATAGGCTGCTTGTCCATATAAATATAGCTGAGTTTGACCACAGTATTTATTTTTTATTTTTATGTTTTAGGTCTTTATCTATCTATCTATCTATCTATCCATCCTTTTTCTTATAATTACTTTTAACCAACATATTTTTCCATTATTCATGCACTACATGTTTGCACTTAACATTTTACTTTGCAACGTGAAGATGTACGCTCTCCAGTGGGACTCACATGTTTTTCACAGGTCAAATTATAATACATTATCTTCAAATGGTGAACAAGTTTGGAAGGATAGCAGTCTAATGGACAGAATTATAGTATTTTCTAATCTGTGAGCATTGTGTTTTCACATTTATTTGGTTACCCTGTCCTTTCAAAGTCAATTAGTAATGTTTTAAATTTTTTAATATAATTAGTTGTAAAAATTAATACCACAACATATTAAAAACAAGTAACACATCTTAATTGGAGGAATATCTGACATTTTGTCATAACAATGCTTGATTAAACAAAGCAGTTTAATTAGTACTCTGATGAATAATAATTTGCATAGCTGATGGTGTCAACATCAACAGCATTTGAAATGTGTTTAGGATTACTCACAGTCCATCTGATCAGCACTGAAGTCTCCCTGTGGGAAGCAAAAGGCAACCAAGTGAACATTTTAACACTGTTTCAGAAAAAGCCATAGATGTCTACTAGCACCCAGAGCCTTTATACCAATTGGAGCTACAAGCAATGGGAAGGTCTGGTTAATAGATAGACAGTGAGAAAAGGCCAGGGTTGGAAAAACTTTCTACATCAAGGTCACCTCATCCTTTCCCTCATGACCCAACCCTCCCCTGCAGCCCTCTGCATTAACAAAAATTACCAGTGTCAAGAGCAGACTCATCAGCTGCCTATCAAGACATCATTAATGTAAATATTTGAAGCATTATAAAGTACCTCTAGGATTAAAATGCCACTACAATGAAGCACTCTGAAGCTGCACCTGTAAGTATGCCTTACAATTACAGTCGGCTGGCTCTGCATTTTCAGGCAACAATAATTAAGCTTTATTAAATTATTCTAGATACCAACATTAACTAATGTAAAAGGTGTAATGACGGCAACTTTAAATAATATACGGCTATGTTAATTGTCAAAATTATTATATTATTGTATCCGAACGATTATTTAGCGCTGCGAGCTGGCCAGTGTTGTGTGGGCTATATTCCCGTAAGACCCGAGTTACACACCATTCTGAAGGGTCGGAGGAGCAAGGAACAGGCAGGAGACGAGATAACCTGTGGTCTCTGGAGAGTGGTGCTGCTGCATTTTCAAAGCCCCCTTTATTAAACTATGAACTGTGATGTCACAGGGAGGGTCGAATGGCGGCAGACAAGTTTTTTAACTTTCTTAGGGCAAGCGGTGAGAGAGCCCGTGTCTCCTTGGGGCCTTTACAAGGGGTGGGGGCTATTTTTAGACGCTGCTTGGGGACGCTTGCAGGACTCCTGCGCTTCGGTCAGCATATTTATTATGATTTTCTTTGTAGTTATACGTGTCATTCGATGTTTCTATTCGCATATGTATAATAAGATAATACAGTGTAAATAAATAATAATTGTTACAACATTTCAGGTTTCATTAAATTGGATCTGCTTGTTTTAATCAAATATCCTTGGATAATTTGAGAAGGGAGCGACGTGTCAGATGAGATATTTTTAACCAGCATGAATCTCATTCTCTTAATATGGATGTCTTAGGGGAACGGTCTAGACATATTTTGAATACGCTTTTCTTTGACAAAGACCAATAAGGCAAAGGCAGTGGAATTCAAATGGTAAAAATCATGTACATGAAAAAAATAAAATCACAGAAAAACGAGCAGGAGTGCCATTTGAAAGAGTACTTATTTTTTCCAGTGGGTTTTAACATGTTGTGGGACATTAAACGATGTGATAGCCTGTTGTTTCGACGAGAACGTCAAAATATCTATTAAAATAAACATTTTGGATCATTCTTACCCCTATTATTTATTTTATCAGCTTGATATGTGTCTGTTTTAATTGAAACTAAGTTATTCCTCAATATGAATAACGTTTAAGGGGAACTATGCTGCTCTAGTACGTAACCAAAACAAAATGATGTACAGTTGTTCCCCCGTCTTCAAGCGTGATACGTTCCAAGACCGACCACGGATAATAGGGAACCATCCGCGTGATTTTCTTGTACATGGCTATGGTAAAGTTTAACTGATAAATTACGCGGCGTAAGACAATTACCGAGATTAATATTATTATTATTATTATTAATAATAATAATAATAATAATAAACATTTTACATGATTGTACAGTAGGGTACTGTACTCAGTCTCCAATGAAAGGGATTCTGACGTTTCTGAATTTTCAAGAGATGACAGAGCAATTGAAAAATATCATGTAGGCTTATCAAGGGATGACAGAGCAATGAAAATCATGCTTTCATGCATTTTATTATAACACAAATACTGCGATAAAGCGGGAATGAATGCGATCAGATGCAGACTGGATGAGAGGCGTGGGTTATGGGAACAAAGGGAGACGAGTCATGTCGGCTACTGGGCGTGACTGAAGTGGCGGACTTCTATGGAGTCAAGTTGCGGCCATATAGCGCTGCAAACCAGAGGCGCAGATGGCGGGGGGGACACGATCCTCCCAGTTATATTGGGACCCTGATGCGTCGCTCCACTTTGATAAGCCGCATCCCTAAATGTTTTAACCAAACTGTGTCGACCATCACGAACTACTCACAGAATGTGCTTACTCCAGTAGGAATCCACATACATTCCTATACTGTCTCCCTTTATCTCAGTCTACATGTAGGTAGAAACTTCGCACAATCCTATTATCCTACACATGGCTTTAAATTTGTCCACTGCCACAATGACCTACCGATTTAACAAAGGATAAATAACAAAAACACGTACGGATGTCACCTTCCTCATGTTCGATATTCAGTTTTACGGCTTTAATATATTTTAATAAAAGCAATGTACAGTGGTACCTCAGTTCTCGAACTCATTAGAACTCGAATTTCTTAAAAGTCGAACCACCCAGTTCGGAAAAAAAAAATTACCTAGAGCTCGATCTGTATCTCGGAAGTCAAACCGTGAACGCCGACCTAAGATAACTTCAAGCAGCACGTCTCTCAGCGGAAACAAAGGACAAAGCTTCAGTCTCAGCCTTGGATTCGCTGTGATAGCACCGTGCATGTTTACACTAACTGAATACATATATTTAGATAGTAAAAATACATTTATACAATGATAGACAGTAACAGTAATTATTATTATATAATAAAATACATTTAAAAATAAAGATTTCTTATTCATTATTTTAATATTAATAACAAACCATTAATACGTTTAATTATAATAATATTGTTGTGCCAAGCGGGGACGGAACGGAGACAAAGGCGCAGACGTCAGGGTATCGGGGAATACAGGGTTTAATTACAGGTAAGGCAGGCAGAACGCACACGGACAATACAATGACTGGACTGGGGAAACAAACTGAAACGCAAACGAAATACAGAGGACTAATGACAACAACCAGAAACGGCTGATCACACGGGGATTCCACACGGGGTTAACGAGGGGGCGTGGCACACGGAAGGAGCGAACATTCAGGGCAGGACACATTGTTTTGATACATTTATTTTATTACTTTACAAATTACTGCTTTGATAAATGTGCTTAGATGTGTTTAGTACAGTATATGCTATTCTTGTTTTATCCGGTTCATTTTGTGTTTAAATGCTAAAAAAAAAACATATTTGGGTGTAATTTTTTGTGGCTGGGAACCCATTAATTGGTTTTCCATTATTTCTTATGGGGGAAAATTCGATCACAACTCTAACTTTTTAGGATTCGATCCGGAGTTCTGAACGGATTAAATTCGAGTTCTGAGGTACCACTGTATACAGTTCTTTATGAGTTTACCTCACAAAACGTTAAGCCAGTATTTTGTTCAATGAATCATTCTATAGTTGGATACATTTCATATCAATCAAAAACTGAAGAAATCAGTGTACCTTTTTTTCCTAATAATCAAGTCGTTTCCACATACCCCCATAATGTGCTAAATGCATTATTTGCTAAGCTTAAGCTCTAATGATTTTTGAAATATTTAAATGAAAGTGAACATTTAACTCATTATTTTGTCAGCTGTGTTATGGACAAAAGTTATGTCATATAAGATATGAATGACATACTACACATTTGAAAAACATGTGTTTGAAAGTTCTTGAGCCTATTCACCAGGTGTTTTTAGGTTTTCTGATTGATTTGGAAATTTCAAGTTGGAGCTTGATAGTAGATTTTCTGTGGGCTAATGTCATCAAAGATGAATATTTTTTCAACATAAATCCACATTACACTGAATTTATAATTCAACATTCTTGTGTAAGACTTCCCTCTCTAAAAAATCGAGAAGCGAGGTACCACTGTACTTTTATTCCATGTGGGTGTTTGAAATTGGAAATGTAAAGGCTCAACTTGCAGAATAAAAAAATGAAAATGATATTATTGTACTTTCATTTCATTTTTGATACAAAGTTTGAGTGGATGATTATAAGATATTAATGCAAACATATTGCATTTTAATTTAAACAATCTTCCATACCCATATAATGTGTAATGGGGCAATACATGAATGGGTTAATAACTTTAAAACTAAACAAGACAAGCACATGTAATCAGTGGACTCTGGGGGAATATGCACATTTTATGGTTATTTATATCTGTAATTGTCACTGGGAAGGGCACAGGCAATAAGAGGACTGACTTTAATGACCAAACTGGGGAACACAGGACTGGGAAGTACTTATACATATGACTAATGAAGGGCTGACATGATGCAGGTTTGAACAGATAGCACAACAGGATTGTAGATAATGAGCAAGAGACAACTGAGGAGACTCGGGAGGAATCTGGAGCAGTGTTGATTCTGGCAAGATTTTTTCATTTAGTTTTAGTCTTAGTCACTTACTGAAAATTGTAGTTGGATTAATATCACATTTTAATCTTTGATTCTGTTTTGCTTTAGTCAGTGGAACTGACTAATGGAATAAAGGTTTAATTTAGGTCTAATTTTAATAATATTTTTCTCACACATGTGGTTAATGATACTGAAATTGATTTTGCTGAAGGATATCTCTCCTGGCTGTATAAATTCACTTGAAAAGTAAGCATACCTTATATGGAAGCATACCCTATGATATCTAGGCTGGGAATGTGTTACTGACTTACCATACTTATTTCACATACACTCACCTAAAGGATTATTAGGAACACCTGTTCAATTTCTCATTAATGCAATTATCTAATCAACCAATCACATGGCAGTTGCTTC